AGGGGGAGATGGAGGGGGAGATGGAGGGGAGATGGAGGGGAGATGGAGGGGGAGATGGAGGGGGAGGGGAGATGGAGGGGGAGATGGAGGGGGAGGGGAGATGGAGGGGGAGATGGAGGGGGAGGGGAGATGGAGGGGAGATGGAGGGGGAGATGGAGGGGGAGGGGAGATGGAGGGGAGGGGAGATGGAGGGGAGATGGAGGGGAGGAGAGATGGAGGGGAGGGGAGATGGAGGGGAGGGGGAGATGGAGGGGAGGGGAGATGGAGGGGGAGGGGAGATGGAGGGGAGGGGAGATGGAGGGGAGATGGAGGGGGAGATGGAGGGGAGGGGAGATGGAGGGGAGATGGAGGGGAGGGGAGATGGAGGGGAGATGGAGGGGAGGGGAGATGGAGGGGAGATGGAGGGGGAGATGGAGGGGAGATAGAGGGGAGATGGAGGGGGAGATGGAGGGGGGAGATGGAGGGGGAGATGGAGGGGAGATAGAGGGGAGATGGAGGGGGAGATGGAGGGGGAGATGGAGGGGGAGATGGAGGGGGAGATGGAGGGGGGATGGAGGGGAGGGGAGATGGAGGGGGAGATGGAGGGGAGATAGAGGGGAGATGGAGGGGAGATGGAGGGGAGATGGAGGGGGAGATGGAGGGGGAGATGGAGGGGGAGATGGAGGGGGAGATGGAGGGGGAGATGGAGGGGAGGGGGAGATGGAGGGGAGATGGAGGGGAGATGGAGGGGGAGATGGAGGGGGAGATGGAGGGGGAGATGAGGGGGAGATGGAGGGGGAGATGGAGGGGGAGATGGAGGGGGAGATGAGGGGGAGATGGAGGGGAGATGGAGGGGGAGATGGAGGGGGAGATGAGGGGGAGATGGAGGGGGAGATGGAGGGGGAGATGAGGGGGAGATGGAGGGGAGATGGAGGGGGAGATGGAGGGGAGATGGAGGGGAGGAGAGATGGAGGGGAGATGGAGGGGAGGGGGAGGGAGATGGAGGGGAGGGGAGATGGAGGGGGAGATGGAGGGGAGATGGAGGGGGAGATGGAGGGGGAGATGGAGGGGGAGGGGAGATGGAGGGGAGGAGAGATGGAGGGGAGGGGAGATGGAGGGGAGGGGAGATGGAGGGGAGATGGAGGGGGAGGGGAGATGGAGGGGAGGGGAGATGGAGGGGAGGAGAGATGGAGGGGAGATGGAGGGGAGGGGAGATGGAGGGGAGATGGAGGGGGAGATGGAGGGGGAGATGGAGGGGAGGGGAGATGGAGGGGGAGATGGAGGGGGAGATGGAGGGGAGATGGAGGGGAGATGGAGGGGAGATGGAGGGGGAGATGGAGGGGGAGATGGAGGGGAGATGGAGGGGAGATGGAGGGGAGATGGAGGGGGAGATGGAGGGGAGATGGAGGGGGAGATGGAGGGGGAGATGAGGGGAGATGGAGGGGGAGATGGAGGGGAGATGGAGGGGAGATGGAAGGGGAGATGGAGGGGAGATGGAGGGGAGATGGAGGGGGAGATAGAGGGGAGATGGAGGGGAGGGGAGATGGAGGGGAGGGGAGATGGAGGGGAGGGGAGATGGAGGGGAGATGGAGGGGGAGATGGAGGGGGAGATGAGGGGGGGATGAGGGGAGATGGAGGGGAGATGGAGGGGGAGATGGAGGGGAGTGGAGATGAGGGGGAGATGGAGGGGAGGGGGAGATGGAGGGGGAGATGGGGGGGAGATGGAGGGGAGATGGAGGGGAGATGGAGGGGGAGAGGGAGGGGGAGATGGAGGGGAGATGGAGGGGGAGATGGAGGGGGAGATGGAGGGGAGATGGAGGGGAGATGGAGGGGAGATGGAGGGGGAGATGGAGGGGAGGGGAGATGGAGGGGAGGGGAGATGGAGGGGGGATGGAGGGGAGATGGAGGGGAGATGGAGGGGGAGATGGAGGGGAGATGGAGGGGGAGATGGAGGGGAGATGAGGGGGAGATGGGGGGGGAGATGGGGGGGAGATGGAGGGGGAGATGGAGGGGAGATGGAGGGGGAGATGGAGGGGAGATGGAGGGGGAGATGGGGGGGAGATGGGGGGGAGATGGAGGGGGAGATGGAGGGGGAGATGGAGGGGAGATGGGGGGGAGATGGAGGGGAGATGCAGGGGGGAGATGAGGGGAGATGGAGGGGAGATGGAGGGGGAGATGGAGGGGAGATGGGGGGGAGATGGGGGGGAGATGGAGGGGGAGATGGGGGGGAGATGGAGGGGAGATGGAGGGAGATGGAGGGGAGATGGGGGGGAGATGGGGGGGGAGATGGGGGGAGATGGAGGGGAGATGGGGGGGAGATGGAGGGGAGATGGAGGGGAGTATGGGGGGAGATGGAGGGGAGATGGAGGGGGAGATGGAGGGAGATGAGGGGGATGATGGGGGGGAGATGGAGGGGAGATGGATGGGAGGAGATGAGGGGAGATGGAGGGGAGATGAGGGGGAGATGGGGGGAGGATGGGGGGGGAGATGGAGGGGAGATGGAGAGGGGAGATGTAGGGGGAGATGGAGGGGAGATGAGGGGGAGATGGGGGAGATGGGGGGGAGATGGAGGGGAGAGATGGGGGGGAGATGGGGGGGGAGATGGGGGGGGAGATGGAGGGGGAGATGGTAGGGGAGATGAGAGATGGGGGAGATGGGGGGGAGATGGGGGG